AGACGACATTGGCTACACAGCCAGTGCTTCGAGCGGTCCACTTGAGCTCCCGAAGCACCGCGAAAGAACGGTAACACCCTCTCCTCCCCTATTGCTGCAGCGAATATGACTCCCACCTGCACTGCGCTTTGGGCTGAAATCTAGTTCCATCTACTAGTGCCTTGTCACCGCTTATCCTCCGCCGGGACGTCCTCTCGGTCACTCACGCCAACCTCTCGCACGTCCTCGGCACCAGCCTTGAGACACTGTCGAAGCTACAAGTATCCAACACGAATGCTCAGGTCCTCAACAGGCAGTTGACCACGAGACTGCTCACGCTCAGCGAGAGGAAGAAGAAGGCGAGGGATGCGGTGGCGCGAGACGACCAGGGATACAGAGATGCTGAGGAGGCGCTCCGGGAAACGAAGATTAAATGGGAGGTCATGAGAAATGCGGTGCAAGCGATTATAGTGGGGAGTGGGGTGGACTGGGTTGGCGATAAGAAGCTTAGGGATACGGTTCTGTCCTGCGGCGAGGAGCCTGAATCGACTTGATCCTTCCTTCCTTTTCTTTTCTTTTCTTTTCTTTTTTTTCATTTCATTTCATTTCATTTCACCTTTCTTTTTCTTTTTTCACTACCTTCTATCCACTTGGTGACTTGGAGGTTATGTAGTGTGGTTATTGTTCCGCGTTATGCAGCTCAACCCACGCTACTGTACCCGTATCTCGATGACGTGCAGGAGGTTTTCCAGCGGTGGAGCCCTTCACCTGGGACGCTGACACATGAAGAGAAAATGGCGTTTTGGAAGGCTCGGAAGCTGTATTTCAATCCTGTACTGTATGGTACCTCGCATTTTTTTTTTCCCCCCCTTCCCTTTTCTTTTCTTTTCTTACTTTCGACAAGCACTACTAAATGACAGGATCACAACCCTACAATCCAATCAAAAAAGGTTTCCCCAACCCAGCATATCATACTCAAGGAAAAGGGGGGGGGGGAACACAAAGAACAATTTCTCCTCACTTGTATACTTACACCTCACCGTGGGTACTAAAATTTCCCCTATAAACCTCCCACACAGGCCCCCCCCCCGAACAAGCTCAATTGCAAGGTGCGCTATCATACGAGTAATCACTTATGCATATGCCATATACCTTACCGTGATGACTCCACCCTACCCTCCGACCAACCCGGTAACCAACCAAGCAAGCGGTCAATATCTAAATATCATACGGTACCAGACCCCCTTGAGATGCGAGGGGGGGAAAGTCCTGAGGGTTTCTGCTGCCCTGCAATGCAGGGGCCCTGTATTGTACGGTACTATACTGTACTGTACAGTACCAAGCACGCGAGCATCACACATCACACTTCAATCAGCGCACAACATGAGTATCATACCGGTAACGTACCCCACGGCGAGTTGAGACACATGGTGACACGAGACAACCGGTTGCCGGTCAACTAGTTGAGAGCATAAACCGGTTTTCTGAATACCCCAAGCAACTGTTAAGGTAGCTTTCGTCATGTAGATATCTATTGAAATAAAAACAACAAGAGTGAAGAAATCACACACTTCGATACTCAACCAGCTTTCTCAAAATGCCTCCAACCGATTATTTTGCAACAGAACAGCGTATTGAGCTTGCACTCAGTACTCTCAACAAAGCTTGTGAGAATAAGAGCCATATTCCCACCTACCGAGAGCTGGTACTTGATTATGAAGTGCCAAGATCTACCCTTGGTCATTGTGATCATGGTCGGATTTCTAGAAAAGAGGACGATGAGCGAAAGCGATATTTAACCATTGGCAAGGAAGAGGCACTTGTTAATCAGTATAAAATTCGCAAAAGAGATGAGTGTAATATAGATAGCTAATTGAAAGTAACGTGAAGGTGCTTAGAAATGCAGGACTACTGTTTTCCGCCCCGCATTTCTCTCGTCAACGAAATGGCTATATACTTATATAGCAAACGGAATGCTGAACATGCAAAATCCATTGATTGCAACTGGCATCTTGCATTCTTGGATCGTCATCCCGAGTTAGGTATCAAGTACAGCAGGCAGATTGAGCATGTCTGAGTCGAGGCGCAGCAGGACTATTTTGTATTTGCTAATTTCTTTGAACAGATATGTACTACAATAAAGTTTATTTTATGAAGTTATGTACAGTAGCTAATTTAATAAGTTGGAGTCTGCAATTGTAAAGTACGATATCGTTCCTGAAAATCTTTACAATTTAGATGAAATCAGCTATTTAATGGAGTTTACTCAATCCTGCCGAGTAATCTATGGTAAAGATTTACGACAACAAAATGGAGCTCTATGTGCCTGTGATGGTAGAAGAGAAATGGTTACTGTTATAGAAACCATTTGTGCCGATGGATCCCAATTATTACCAATGATTATCTTTAAAGGAGATGGGGTTCAGGAAAGTTGGGTTGAAAACTCACAACTTTGTATGCCAGATGAGATTTTGGTAGGATATTCTGAGAATGGATGGACAGACAGGAAAAAAAGCCTACGATATCTTGAGCACTTTTTTGGTCCCAGTAGCTTAACAGCAGCCAAGGCATCTAACGGATCACGATTTCGAATGCTATTATTCGATGTTTATTCCTCCCCTGTTACTTGGGAGTTTCTCCTCTATTGTCTACAAAATCGTATCGTTCCATTTTGCCTTCCTTCCCATACAACCCACAAACTACAGCCACTCGATGTTGCTGTATTCAGTCCTCTAAAGCATAAGTGGACTAAAGCTGTTTGGGAAAGATTTCAATGGGGAAGTCATATTGTGAGAAAATACAACTTTTGGAAAATATTGGAGCAAGCCCGCATCGGTGGTTTAACAGAGAAAAATATACTAAGTGGTTTTGAAGCAACTGGTATTTATCCCTTAAATGCACAGAAGCTTTTACAAACCCTTCCGGGCTATGATTCCTATCAGCCAGATTCCGGAAACCCTTCTCCCTCCGAACGCGAGTCTGAGCCTCGAACTCCGAAAACCAAATCTGAGATTTCTAAGTTGGAAGCCTTCGTTCGAAGTAAGGTTTACCGCAATTCACCAAGCTCATGCGATACTCATGCAGCGATTCAGTTCCTTGCCCACTCCACCTCGTTTTACTGTTTGACTCTGAACCTACGTGATGAAACGGAACGGAAAAAACAACAATATATTATCGAAGAGGGTCTTAATTCTGGAAGGAAAGCGAGAAAGCGAATCAAAGTTGACAACTCGGCTATTTCTGCTAGTGATGTAAAGAAGGTGATTCAAGCTACCTATAATGGTAAAGAAAAAGCCACAAAAACTAGTTTAGATTATTATACACGCATGTATTCTAGTACATCTACTAAGCTTACACAACTAGCTAGTAAGTTGAAGGAGCAGCAGGAGCGGGAAAAAACTGGATCTGGAGGTGGAAGATATAAGTCAGTTGCCCGATTGGAAATTGAACAAAATGCATTAAAGGAAAAGCTGGAGAAATACGGAAAGCTGAAGAAAGAGAAGAGACTGGAGAACCGGAAATTGGGAGTGGAAAAGGAGGACGCTCTGAGCAGGCTGGATAATTTGAATATTGAACTTGAAGAAGAGGAGGAAAACCTAGGAGACAAGCGGATTGGGGTTGAGGTTGAGGATGAGAATACTTGTTAATAATGGAAGTTGAGTGATACTCTATATAGTTGTCTCGTATCACCGTGTGTCTTGACTCGCCATGGGGTACGTTAATACAATACTCGAGCGTAATAGTGATAATAATAATAGTAATAATAATAATAATAATAATTCCAAATTCAATACCGGTACCGCACCGTACCGTACCCGTAGGGGGGAAAAAAGGAAAAGAAAGAAGGAAAGAAAGTAAGAAAGAAAGAAAGAAAAGCAAGCGCTAGCAACGCAGTTGCTACGAGTATAGTAAAGTACCACCATACTGCAATGCGTGTGATCCGCCGGACGGGGCACGACATGACACTGAAGTATCATACTCATACCGGTACTGTACCACAAATACAACACGGGATGTGATGGATAGCATACAGTAACCCTTACAACATCCTAATAGGACACGGGGCATTGCGCTGCGTTCGCTCTAGTACCGGTACTAGTAAGGTACGGGTTTACCACCGGATCAAGTCGGTACTATCATACAGCATCACACTCATACAGGTACTCGAGTACTGTACTAGTACATATGAGTGGGATGCGGTACGGCAAGTTCCTATCATGGTAATATATATCTGGAGTCGGGGTGGGGGGGGGGTTTAATTTTTAATTTTAATGATATCGTACTTTTATGATTTACGGCAGGTACGATACAGCACTGCTGTGATAGTTACCGGACTGGACTGTGCTCGCTCCATCGTGTTGAAGCACTGCACCGCGCACAAGCATGATACAGTGCGGTAGGGGAAAAACTGGGGTGGAGGTTCCCATCACAATATTATTATTATCTTTCCCGTCTTGAAAACCCCGGCCCCGGCTTGCGGGTGGGGCCTGGGATTATCGTAGCGCTTTCCATGTCACAATCATACCTTACCGTACCGTAGGTATCATGCGGGCACGGTGGTGTGCCCGTGCTGCGCGCATGTGTGGTGCTCCTCCGGGTTTGACGGTGGCGTATGTATGATACTGTGCGAGTACTCGAGCACCGTAGTCTACAGTGCAGTACAAGTACTGTACTAGTACAGTAGGATCCAGTGCGATGCAGAGCTTTGGGGTTGCCTTTTTCCCTTGGAAACGCGCCAATGGCGGGATGCCAGTGTTGAATTCTCGGCAACCGCGGTCTCACCGCATGGTAGACTACCGGTAAAGTAATTCAGTTACCGGACCGTAATTAGGCCTTATCGATGCGGGGTAAAAAAGAAAAAAAATTTAAAAATAATAATAATAATAATAATAATAATAAAATAGATGCCATATCCGGGCCAAAGGAGAGAGACAAACTGCCCCCTTCTCACCTAACAGTGGGGAGGCGAAAGGTGGGAAAAAGGAATGAAAAATAAAATAAAAAAGAGAAACAAGTTCTTTTGGTTCCAGAGGGGGTTGAACCCTCGACCTTGGCATTAACATCTGAGTGATATTAGTGCCACGCGCTAACCAACTGAGCCATGGAACCGTTGTGTACCTGACAAAAAGAACATATAAGTGCTGATGAGAGTTCTGGAAACGATGGAAGAAAAGTACCGTATCACTATTACAGGTATGTTACGTGATTAAATCCCAGACATCGTTGCCCACCGCCCCGCCGGACGCCATAAACAAGTAACCACGCATTAACCACGGGGAGGAGATGGGCGGGACCAAATGGACTTACTAGTCTCTAAACCACCAAGTCGCCCCTCTCTCTCTCTCTCTCTCTCTCTCGCCCGGAGCTGTTAACCACCGCTGTGAAAAGAGAAGAAAAAAGAACGAAACCCCACAAACTCCCCACGCCACATCTGCATGAAGTTTCTTGCCATGGAAGGAGTAAGGACTAGTGTGGTAAGAGAGAGAAAAAATAAAAAATTTCACAACCCAACCCCCTCCAACCCCTCCATCGGTTCCACTGACGCTACCAGCGGCCGCTCAGCACTCCCGGACAACGCCCTCCTCCGCCGGCCCGTAGCCGTAGTGAGCGTCGACCGCGTTGCGGTAGCAGTAGCTGTGGCAGCGACCTCCTCCACCTCCTCCCGTTCAGTAGTCTCCACCGCCTGCGCTGGGAATGGCGTGCCTGTTAGGGGTGCGAGGATCAGGTAGCGCCAGATGTAGAGTGTCGCATCATAGAGGAGGATCAGGATCGCCGGGGCCATGGTTAGGATTCCTAGGAATACCTATTTGGGGGTGTTAAATTAGCGGCGCTTGTGTCTGTGGGTAGCTAAGGCAGCTTACGAAGAAATGGGCGGCCCAAGCTTGAAGAATTCCTAAGATTTCGAGTGGGCCCAAGTTCGGCAGAGACATGTTTCGGGTACCGGTATCTTGGTGGGCTGTTGCTTTTGCGGCTCGAGAGCGTGGGAGCGTACGTTGTGGATGGTGGTGGTGGTGGTGGAATGTGAGAGGGAGGAGGGGGGGATGAGACTGTGAAAGTGTGTGGTGGGTAAACGGGGGAATTCGTGGTCGGTCGCTCGCGGGTTGAATGGCTGCGTGCGAGGAATGCGAGGAATGGAGGCTTGAGCTTTGGTGAGTGAGGTCCGGTTGCTTGGCTGAATGGGTTACACAAGACATGGGGTTGGTTGGTTCGGCTCACTTTTCGGGGGCGAGACATCAATTCTCCGCTGGAGCACTCGGACGTCATGGCCCTGCTACATACTTACCTGGGTTGGTGTAATAACGGCGAAACCTAGGGCATTTCTATTGTCGTGAGGCAGTAAGGTCCAGAGCTTGATCCCGGCTTGGGCTCTGCAGGAGCATGTCACGCGAATTCATGAACTCATTGTGCGCTACCGTGCTCTATTAACACCACTATCTTATCTTGGTGCCCGGGTTCCAGGACACAGTTGAGATTAAATTACCCTGAGTTGGCTGCACTCTTACGGGAGAATCTGCCCAACCGCTAAATAATTAGCTTCTCCGTTGGAGCACTGCACGCACTGTCTTTAGCATTCTTGAGAGTAGGAACGAGAAGGATTTCCTCCTCCGCGAATCCGTTAGGACCTACAAGCATGCGGGTGAAGATACCAGCAGATTTCTGCGGAAGGACTACACTTCCGCCTTATGAAACTAGCAAGGGATCCTACGCACTACAGGTGTAAAGGCTCAGGGCCCACTCGCTCAGAAACATGTATGAATTCTCACCGGAAACGTGGCTCGGGGCGTTATGTTGCGCGCTACCACAATCCCTCTGAGATAGGACAAGGAGCTAAGGAAACCATACCAAGATGAGTCAATCAAAAAGTCCCCGGCCCGTGCGAGGTGATTTGGTTTTCGTGATAGCTATCTACCATACGCCCGGTAGACTATTTGATGCCATGAACCCCTCCCTGAATATAAAATTGTATTGAAGCAGGATACCAACGGAGCTGGGCCAGGTCCCGGTGCATATGTGTACGAGGAGATTCCAAATTTACGGCCACGGGATGAAAACAGCCAATCGCTTTCGGAAACACCGACCACCAAGGTTGAGGGCTCCAGCTCCAAGGACTGGTCGATCCTTGGGAGCAAGCCCCTTAGGATGATACCATTTGGCGGCATAGCCGAGATGAGTGCCTCCATGCCCCAAATATGTCATCCAGCGAGAGGGGGAAAAGGAAAACCCCTTCTACCGGGCGGATTTAGCAAGATAGGCGCTGAATCTTCCATAGTTGCCCGGGCCTCGACGTTGATGGATGGTGAAGCCCCCTAAGATGAAACCAATAAGCATCGGTCACCCGAATGGATGCACCTACCAGCAAACAGCGTGCCCTAGGACGCTAGACTCGTTGTCGCCATGATATTCCCTATTGGTATCATATTCCACCTCTGAGTTTCCCCTGGACCGCCAGTAAACGACTGCAACTTTTCTCCAAGAAAAAAAGGAAGAAAAAGAGCAAACAAGTTTCCCCATCGAAAATATATGAATCAGGTTACTCAGACGGCTCTTTTTCCCCAACTTTTCAAGGTTGGAGGGGGGAAAATGGGGACCATTGACTAGGCAGGGGTGCCGACACAGCCCAACAGCGGCACCGGACAGTCATCACGGGCGATCACTCGCCTGAATTTCCCCAGCAAAAGTGGTCCAATTTAGGGGGATAATGCCACTAGCTTAGTTGTGTATAGGCGGTATTAGTGTGGAACGTGCGAGTATCTCCATTACACCAATAACTCGAGCCGGATCCACCTCATTCGATGCCACCCCGTAGGGTCTTTCACCGTCATTAGTTGAGAAACCTAGAGGCTTCAATCCTCGATCTTTATTTACTTGCGCGCAAATCTTAACCCCTAGCACGGGCCAACGAAAAAGCACGCCAATGACCGAGGCCCGTTGGGTCGAAATTAGCTTGAGGGCAAGTGCGCTACTGTTAAAGAACAGCACACGATACCCTCATGAGTTTGGCTGAAGTGGGTATTTCCCGTTAACTTGCGATCGAGATTTCCAGAAAACATCCCCGACGGGTATTCCCCAAGACTCTAGGGACTCGAGAAGCCTCCCTGCGGAGCCCTGTTGGGGGTTTCAATTTTCTTTCTTTCTTTCTTTCTTTCTTCACTAAAGAGGAATGATCGAAACTCCTAGGAGCTGTCAAGCCGATTATAACTGAATCATAAATTTTGTGGGCACTAGGCATGGAGGAAACTGCCCGAGGGAGTTACGTTCCGCTCCGGGCTCTAAATCATCGCTTGCCTTGGTCACTTGGTCCCCTGTCTACGGGTGCTCCATCATCGCATCAATTGTACCAGTTAACGGGGGGGAAGGAACTCATCGCTCCACTGTGAGAGTCTGAGGGGAAAGGTGCAATATTATCGATGGGTGCTCATAGCTCAATGGACGAGGGGCTGGGCGCCGCTAACGTTTACGGAAAGGTTGGGAGTTTGCTCCAGACCCTGGCGATAGAGGATTAGATTGCGGGTGAAGGAATTGTTTATCGTTTTCAGGAGCTTCGCTAACTTAAATGACACAAGAAACTTGTGATCTGGGAACCCTAGATACGAGGGGTAAGATTCCTTTTAGGGAACTCAGCAAACCATTTGTCTGGCATCCGTACGCCCCCCTTCAGAAGCCCACCGCACTAAAAAAAAATGACCCGAGCGATAGATTATGTTTCGAGAGCCATGTCCTAATTCGAACACAGCTTACCTAAGAGAGTTATCTTGGGGGACCCGTCGAGGTTGCTTATTGCTCTAGCGCCACCGCCGCCCCGGCACACTATCAGGAAGCACCCTGTCTTTAATTACTTTACCGTGTGAAATACTTCTCCGGATATGCGAAGAGCATATCATGTCGCAGGAATAAACTCTCTATTGATGGCCTGCAGCTATTTTGCAATCCTTTCAGCTGACAGTCTCCCCCTCTGCGTATTTCGCAACAGGGACAGAACATCCGGTGAAGCGATGCTACCAACCGCAACCAATCACGAAAGCAGGGAGACGGTAAAGATAGGGGGAGCTCTTTGTTCTGTATGGCAGGAGACCCCCCTCCACTACACAATAGCAGAACACGGCACGACAACAATTCTCACTCTTCTCGATTGTGGCTTCACTAAGCAAAATATGTTACGCGCTTAGCCCCACATACCTACCGCTGCATTGGGCGGGAGATCTGTCAGATGCGGTGGATCTGCATCTGGGGAGTGAGGGCATTGTATGTGCCAAGGAGATGGGGGTAGGTCCGACGCTAGCGGGTTCGGTTACCGTAACACTCATAAAGTGCCGGCGCACATCTCGGGACACAACCAGGATCTCGAAATGGTGAGCTTGCTACTCGCGGACCAGTGCCCGGACGTGAACTACTAGGGAATACCCTACCCCACCGTATCCCAGTGGACCCCCCCCCTCCCATCCTGCTGCGCGTGGCAACCCAATCGGGGTGTGGGGAATCGGTGAGCCTTCTGATATCTATTTATACGCCGCCGCTTTGAGCGACACTCGGGCAGGACATGGCAGTTGCGAAACGGCTCATAGTCCTTGCGGGGATTAGTGTCCATCAACTTAGGGAAGCTCGAGATCTCAGCACCGGTGGAATTAGGTGGATTTTGAACCCTGCGGTGGACGGCTCGGCAGGAAGGAAGAGGCAGGTGATAAGAATGGGTGGAAAGGTCATTCAAAGCCCGGGGATGCCGGTCCGTGGTGACATATTTTGAAGAGAGTTTTTGTTGGAGGTAACTTGTTGAAACCTGTAAGAAATTGACCTTCAAGTATCATACCTGCTATGGTAACCTTGGGTAGCATGACCCTCCAGGTGGAAATATCTGCAGTTTTTTTTCTTTTCCTTTCTTCCTTACCATGAGTGAGGAAGGATGAATGGTGGCACCTGCAGTTGTTTCGGCCATCTTCCGGCCATGAATACTGTACGTCGGGCATACTCTATCCACCAAACCGAAAGCCGCATATTTGCAACCGCATCAACCTTGTCGTGAATGCTTCCACAGCCCCAGATGATGACAAAGGGCCAGGACCGAGCTACTAGAGGTCACGAGGACCACATTACTATCTCAGATGGCGATACGA